TTTCACTTTTACGTAACTAAACCCAAGCTATTTATTTTGCTTAAATTTGCAGAGCTGTCAGACATACTTCGAACAATATTTTCATTTTCTGTCTACTCCCCCGTAATTTTGTTATGGAAATGCTTTTTATTAATATCTTTGTTATTTTCTTAGTGTTTGTAACAAAATCATTCTCCCTGTTTTGCTCACCTGCTTCACGCGATCTTTTGACATTTCTATAGCTGCTTTCCAAGGTATTTGATTCATCATCCCTTCATGTTGTTGTTAAACGTATTCTTCAAATGTCTTACTTACGTATACAAACATTGCTTCATTATTATTCATTAAGGTCCAAAGTAAAATTATATTTTATAATATTTAAAATTTTTAAAGTAAATTTAATATGTAAATTAATTAATCGAGATAATTATACGAAAGAAGAAGATGCGTGCCATGTAGAGGCAGCGCGTCGTGTAGAGTACCTAAGTGTAAGTGACGTGAGAGTGTGCACTACCCCAAGTCATTCCGTGGGTATCGTAAGAGGCGACAGATGAAAAACGTAATAGGAGATGAGCAGCATAATTTTTCTGATAACAACTTAATAGTAATAGAAGAAGTGGTTGCCAATTCGCTTACCAAGCGTGGTAACTATGGCATATATCCCCCCTATTGAGGCAATCTTTGGTGGAGACTTATGTTCAGCAGTGGACCTTGTATAGGGTATAATGAATGAATGACGGCTCTTCTTATTTTATTTATGTAGTAAGCTTAAGTTAACATACAAGTGAATGTACAGGGACATTACACTACATTTTAAGTTGAACTATGATTGCTGTATTTCGTCTTATTGAGTATTAACTTGACCTCCCTTAAAAAGCAATATTTTAACACAATATTGAAATATAAGTTCAAAATTTTACAATTATTTAAAACATATTATTTATTTTATACATGGTAGAGCCAATGGGTCGGCTCGTCCGGAGAAGGACCCCGCTATCACAGAATACCAGCGTGAAATATTAACTTAACGCTGCTGTGTTTCGTATGGTGAGTGTAGAGAACCGGAGACCCTTTTTACCGGTAAAGAGGCATTTGATCTTAGTCCACACGGGTGCCACCTCATCTGCATTTTGATTCTTTACTGAGTATAGATGTAGATGTATATGGGTCACATACCACATACTATCAGGTGGATTGTGTGCTCGTTTGTCACCCTATACTTTTAAAAAAATGTAAGTGGATGATGTATTCGCCAACAAACTAACCTGCATTTTGGGTAAAGTAGTTTAAGATACAACTGACTGTATTTATTATGCAATGAAATATTTAAAAATAAAACACTATTTTTACAAATTCAGGAGAATGTATACTTACTTAAATTAACATTATATTATTATAGTCTCAGAATTTACAGTACTACTTACAAATATATAGATAGATATGGGATGAACTTCGAAACATTGTTATGTATTGTTTCTCTTGGAATTCTAAAAACAACTCGTTTTACAAAATTCCGTGATTCACGTTCGCTTTAAATATTAAGAGGAAATGATAAGAAGACGCACTCAAAAACATGACACGGACAATTTAATTATAATAAACATTCAATATCTTTCATATAATTATAGGAATTCCTATAATTATAAACGGATGTTTTCACAATACGAAATGTATCAAATGTGGGCAAATGCGATAATCTCAATAAATTTCTTTCGAGTACCGTTTTAAGTGTTTAATGTGTAATGAGCTAAATATTTCACGAAGAACGGCACTGATGTTTTTAATTATTGGAAAAAGAAATAAAATATTCATTTGATATTTAATTATTGCAGATTTAAACCTAAAATTTTTGAAGGGTCAGCTATTCATGTCGACTTACTCTCAATGTTATGGAATTACGATCTTTTCATGTAGGTGATATAACTGTTCTCAACGTTGAAATCCTCAATCAGTCAGTAATATCATGATTTAGCAAAATCATATTATAATAAAAGTTACGGTATTTAATAAAAATAGACTGATGAGTAAGTTGTAATGTATTGTGAATAAACTGGGTTATGTTGGTTACTATAACTTAACACAAAAACACTTTTATTATGTTTTCTGCTACGAACTTTTAACGACCGTTACTTAAAACTTCACTCCTAGTAAAAGTGTTCAATAACGACTTTTAAACACACTCTTTTGTGTTAGTCATTAAAATTTTGATTGCAAAACCAAAAAGTTTATTTCATATCCTCCGTTACTACATACTTCTAAGATAAACTGTATTCTAAGAACCACGACGATGTCTAGTTACAAAGAGCTTTTAATAACTTTTCAAGTCCACAGAAATATTCAATTATATTCGATGTAAAACATGATCCTTTTATTTGTAGCTTAAATATATAATCATGAACTGAAAGACAGAGAATCGATTTTGTATATTACATTATTTATTATGTTTGTGTCATTTTACTTCAACCTTAAAACACGTTTTTAAATATATATATATATATATATATTTTTTTAAAACGTTAAATTTTTTTTTAAAAACTTTACCCCCACACTAGGATTTTCTCCTGTGTCGTGGAGGCAGTTTACAAACATAAATTGCTCAAGGACAAACATCCAGACCCGGAACAATTATTTGTAGGCCATACAAATACTTGTTCCGTGTGGGATTCGAACCCGCGGCCCCCAACGCAACAACTGATTGCTAAACGACTGCGCCATGGAGCCGTCAATTTGAAATTAATTTAAAGGGTATGTAGATATTAGACCATATTTATAAAATGTATGCTTTTACTTATCAGGTCCACGTGTAAATCGTTATTTCTGCGAGTCTAAGTAACTTGCTAGCATATTATCATAACACCTTCACCAGTATTTCATAAAGCAGTAACTCACGATGTTTATTAACTCATGCCGGCAGCTGAGGCGTCAAGGATACGTGAATCTCCTCTGCGTCATCATGGTGAATAAACCGCACTGTTATGTGGAAACTTCTAAGGAATGCCACATTAATTCTCATTAGGAATATTTCATTTAAATGCAAGGCGCCTAATTCGTAGAAGAAACGTCAATATTTGTTAAGCGATATTATGATTTGAATGGCGCCAAAAAGACGTTAGAATTAATGGGGTTTGTTGTAATATTAAACTAGTTCAGGCAACAGAATTAATTAACAACGTAAGTATTTGCCCCGACATCTAATATAAAAAAACACAACAAAATTACTGCGTGTAAATCTGGTATATCTGGTTTTCTTTTCTTTTTAGAAAATTCGAAATAATCCATTTGTCTTTATTTTAAATCATATTATACACATTCGATTGCATATTCAGATGTAATAACATAATATCCTTCAACGTAGTATCGCGAAACATTATGAATTTAAATGCAACTGCATATTTAATTGGTAGGTTAAAGCAGATCTAATTCATTCACATTATGTGCTATGTTAGTGAACAGATCTGATATGATAATCCTAGCAAAACAAACATTTACTTTTGAAAATTATTTATGTTATTTATGTTGAAGAAACAAAGTAAAGTATTATACTTAAATATAATAAAGATGATCTAAAGTTCCCACGTTTTATACGGGTCGCACAAATTAATACTTATTCAGACAAAAAGAATAACATGATGAAATTTATATTAAAAAGAGACATTTAAAAACATGCCACATTTGTTCATGAGCTATAATCCAACAATAATCAGTATTGCAAAACTTTACAAGTCTACGCTAGTTCCTGCAATATTCAGGACATGGTGAGGTATTTCTACCGAACTCTAACATGCACGTGAAAAAGCAGTTTATTTTATATTAAATAAGTTTTTTATTATTAAATATGTGTTTAATAACATATAACTTGTGTTTCATACTCTATATTTATTTTGATTCCTGCGTTCATGTCCTCCAGATCGAAATGCGGTCACGGCGGCCAGTCTCAACGGAGACTAGCCATCTGCGCAAGATAGGATTATGTTGCACGAGGGTACGCGAAAGCACAAGTGCACTCTCTATTCCTTCACTCTCATAGCTCGGTGGGACAGATATCTGACACGAGCAAAGAGATTAGGCGCAGGGCCAATGGCTTTACGTGCTTTTCGAGGGAAGATGGTGAAACACCACCAACTCCTGACTTCGATCTGGTAGTAAGAATTTCTTGAGAGAAAAACCTAATAACTTATTTTGGCCTGACCCGGGACCAGCGACTAACGGGGACTAGACCAGCGATGCAGTCAAACTCCTGAGCAGCTACGGTGTCGTTACTGCAATATAAATCAATAGTTGTCCCATTTGGTCATATCGCTGATATCTCCTGACTCGTCCTCTCCACAATCCTATAATCTTTATTCCATTCTATAAGCGTAACACAGTACAAAAAAGATAATATCGAAATATTTTTTATTCTTTATAAAATTAAAATAACAAACGTGTTATCAATTTACCTGATGGTAGTAACTTGCTTCAACAAATCAAATTACGTATACTTTGTCACCCCTGAGAACTAAGTTGCATAGCCACATAGCAAGGAATCATATAACCCATAGAAATATAAAACTACAACCTCTAAGAACAAACACCTAGTAAACTAATTTTAAATATTAGTAATAAATGCGGTGTTACATAGGCTGTAGGTCTTTTAAGACTTAAAATATCACACTTGAAAAAAAATTTTATTATTTAATTTTTATTACTATTGGATAACATAAAAACCATGTACTTTAATTAAACATAAGTTATTGCATAAAAATTTGACAAGCAGCTGTCAAAAAAGCCCCGTAACAAAGCTAAGCTGCCAAGCGAAATTTTGCACATCCGTGTGTTTTTTGTGGTACCATTCCCAGCGATAATTTCTATATGACACCGATACCCCAATAAAGTAACTTGGCCCAACAATGGTATGCAAAGATAAAAAAATACGTAGGACGATCGATGTGTGCGTGTAACACGTGTGTATTACGCTCACTGTGCGTTTGTATTAACGTTCCTGCACAAGAGATGAGTTGATGTTGCAAATGTATAAAAGCGAAGCGTCGATTTTGAAATCAACATAACGATTTGAAATTCTCTAAGGAGTGTACATACATAAAGAGAACGACCGTGAATAGGTTTCCGCATAGTGAATCGCGAATATCATAAAAGTGAACAAGTGTATCCCTGTACAATTGTTTTTTTTAAGTGATATCATTTTTCCTTTAAAAAAAAGTGCAATAAGGATGCTTTCCATCAAGGTAAATTTTTGATTTTAATTATTTTCGTATGTATTAGTATTCAAGAGAAATTAAGTAAAATCTCATTCTTCAATTCTTCGTAATTTTTTTTTTCATTTATATAGTTTTTGTACAATTTAATATACATATTAAATGTTTATTTGACAGTGTATGATTGCGATCTGCGTGGTAGTAGTTGCCGGCACACCCGTAGAAGACGGCAAATGGCATCCCTATAAATATGGAGATGACGGCAAGTAAGTAGATAAATGTCAGTTCGAGTACTCCAAGCATTTACATATTGCTAGGTGCATAGTTCACCACGCTTCAGGAATTCCTATGATAGCATAATTTGAATAAAAACAGATATATGGAAACTTAACACATTACACAGCCACAACCAAGAAATTTTAAATCACATGTGTGTCTTAATTTAATAGTTGATAGAGACGAAAGCACTTGAATTAATATAATCTTATTTTCTAGGTATATACCTACAGACGAAGGTAAATACATCCACATACCGAATCCTTACATCCATATCGATAACCCATACAACGGAGGCTACGGACCCTATTCACATGATTATGAGCCTTACGTGAGTGCAGCGACTGAAGATCGTTATAGATTAGTAATGACCCCGCCCAAAGATATACCATACTACAAGGAGGGATATTACAGGAACAACGGCATCAAAATCATCAGCCAGAATCATGTGTACAATGAGGACAAATACGATTTCAAGTAAGAATTCATTTTTATTAAATTTTATAAAAAGTATATTATTGCTGAGAATCCCAGGAATGCTGATAGTTCCTTGTGTTCTAGAATCAGTCGTTGTTAAAGTAAAAATTAAAATTAACATATTGAATATGCAATAAACGTTATTTATTAGGTTATCATCTAAACAGAGCCCGGCCTTGCCAAGATTTTGAATGCCGTATTTATCAAAACATTTGCATACGTTCAAGCATGGTGATGTTGACCGTTAAATAAATTATTAATAAATAACTTTAACTAAACTATAAATGTCTCCAGACTAGTTCCCGCCAATGATGATATTAAGCCGCCGTACTATTGTAACACTTTTCGACCTTGACAGATAAATATGTTGATACTCGCTCTGTTAGGTTAGAGTTCAAAACTATTCATAATACTTTCCGAATAATAAATTGAATGAAACATCACTCAACCAGAACAAATTTGAGACATACTGTGAATTAATTCAATATGATTCAGCCTTTGTTCAACAAAATGTCAATACTAAAACCTTAAACACCAAAAGTTCCAAATACGGCAATATCGAATTAAGCTTTGAAGTTAAAAATAACATAACCTTTATTTTATTTTGCAGTTTTGAAACAGAAAACAAAATTCGTGCCAAGGAAAACGCTATTCTCAAGCACCCCAACTCTGTCGATGGAGGTACTGCTTCAAGCGGATTCTACGAGTACCTTGGCCCCGACGGTTTCATGTACCGGGTCGATTATACCGCCGACGAGAACGGTTTCCGCCCTAAAGTTAAGAGGATAGAGACGCCATACTCTGGAAAATGGGTGCTAGAAAAAGTGAACTAGAAAGTTATTTCAGCCAGACACCAAAATTTTGGCATTTCCTACTACTTTCCTTGTAAAGAATCAGTATTTTGACATAAGTAGATAATGCTATGGTTTCTTTAAGCTTTAGCTTGATGACCAATCAATTTTGTGTATATCATGACGTTAGAAATATGTCACAGGGCATTTCGATTGAGCTTCAACGACGTTAAATATGAAACATACTTTTAGTACTTTTTAACAAAAAGACTTATATTTTATGTGTATAAGTAACGAATCACGGCCTAACAAATATACTATGAGTACAAAATCGTAAAAATTTTGCACAGATGTTCCTCTTTTTAAGGAATTGTAATGTTTAGAATATTTAATTTATATTTAGATTTAAGAGCTTAGAACAATGAGTTAGACACTTATTTATGAATTGTGATAATAAATTTATATTTCATTATGAACATGACCTTTTTTTATTCTACGTCTTAAACATAGTTGTAGCTTTCTAACAAATGCCACTTAGCTGGTAGCCTGGGCTGATACGCTACGCCGCAGCGCTTCCATTGCTTTTTTGACTTTAAGGTTAATGTAATTTTGGAAAAAAAATTGGAATAGCAAATAAAGATTTATGTATATTTTGTATATATATATTTATAATACGTATGAAAAAACGTACATGTTAGTATATAAAAAATAGTATATTTTATCATACCTTCATGAAAAAATTAAACGTTTATTAAAAGTTAAAACCGACTTTAGGAACTAAAAATATTCAATTATTTGTTCTTGATTATTTTCATACACTTTTGAGTGGATTTATCAATACCAAGGATGCTAAGCAAGGATGTCATCTAAAATCTAAATTGCTAAACTTTATTCACCTATTTTTCCACCCTTAATGGTGGCTTATTTTCTGTTCATTTCTTTTGGGCCATCCTTGTATCTATTAAAAAAAGGATTATTTAAGTCGCTTCTGCCGTTTCCAAGAAATAGGTGAACATACTTCAACAACATCGAATGTAGAATCTCCTTTTTATGAGTCGGTTGAAAACAGCAGCAGCAAAGCCTTCAAGTCACAATAGTTGTTGTAACTATAAATATTAAATATAAACTAAAATGACCGTGTGGCTCTCTTTGTAGAAAGAAGCCGGAGTCTTAGTATCGATCGGCTTTGTGTCTTTCTGCCGAGTACGAATCCTAGATGAAGCCAACATGTTAGATCTAATTATATTACTGGCATTATAGTGTCGCTCTTGTGGCACATGCGTAAATTTAAAAAAAAATGGTCTAAGTGGGCCAGAAGAACATAAGCATAATAAATTATTATACATAATATATTCAATAATTCGGCATAATATATTTAATAATTAAAGGAAAATAAGCCTGAATTAATTAAAAATGAAGTGTAAATCACTTGACAACATCTTAATTTCAATTTACAAATATGAAAAGCTGAAATGAGGTACCTAACTTAAATTGTTGGTTATACATCGAGCTACATAATTAAAATTAGAAATAATTTAAATTTAAAGAGATTAAACTACGTAAACATATTTTTTGTTTATTTACAAATATCCTCATTACGCATTATAAATGTTATGTATATTTTAACATATTCTAATATAGTTATATTTATGAGTTTTTATTTTCTTTTATTATTCCATCATTAATATTTTTTTTACTTAATATACGTGTATATAAAATAATAATAGTCAAACTACTAAAACAATTAAAATGAACTTACTAAATATATATTTTATTTTAAAACATTAAATAAATTTATTAAAATTATTATGTGGGCTAAAATAAGTCTTCATAAAAAATATGTACATTTTTTAACTGAAACATATATAGTAAACTACGTCTGGAATAAAGTCCAAATAAACGACAACCTTTGCAAACAGAGAGCAACGAAAAGATCGTAAAGTCGTACTGTTAGGGCATTGGCAAGAATTTTGGCAAAATTGTTTTGGCTCAAGCTTGTGAAGGCTTTTATGGAGGCACAGGACGTTGACCGAGAGCTCTGCCAAGTAGCCGGCGCCACTCCGGTCGACGCAACGCGATCCCAGTCCGCTGCTGCACTGCGCATTGCCTTATCTGTTGCCTGCTTACTCCTTCAACGAAATAACATATGAGCGTAATGATATGTTCAGCTGCCAAATAGGTCCTGTCCGTTAATATCCCGTTGCATTTCAATGGATACTTTATGCGTTGTACCGTTGACAAAACGGTAATATACAATAAGTAAATTAGGGAGGAGCAAAAGATATTTAAGAAGCAAGAGTACATCGAACCGACTTAAATTTAGGGACATTAATTTGTCGACGATTTATTTATTTTTAATTTTAACCCCAATTTGCGACGTAAATGCTATCCGTATGCAAATAAGTTTGTTTCGATTATCGTATCGCCTGTAGCAATATTTTGCGGCTACTTCGTTACGCGATGTTTTTATTTAATAAATTTTATTGATAAATAATTGAATAACTCTCAAAGAGTCTCCCTGAGAATTATTTCTTTGCTTTGCCTTACAATTTCATTTTATTTTTATTGATCATACGTCTATGTAATTGATTTTAAAGAAACTTTTTTTATATAGAATATTCTTACTTACTTACTTACTTATCTTCACGCACAATCCCTGACGGGGTAGCCAGAGAGAACAGATCGCCAAGTGTCACGATCCTCACATACCTCTTTCGCTTCTTTCAGATTCACTATCTTCTTCATACATACACGTCTAGGTATTCGAGTACTCTTGACCCAACCTATCTATATAGAATATAGATATAGAAAAATAAATAAGAAGAATATAGAAGTAAGGGTGGTAAACGAGCAAGCAGTCTGCTGATAGTAAACAGACGCTTTGGCCCATATACACTTACCGTCACCGTCACCGTTACAGCCTATTAAAGTCCACTGCTGAACATAGGCCTTCCCCATAGATTGTCTCATGGGGGATATTTGACATAGTTGTCATGCTTGGCAAATGGGCTGGTAACCGCAGTTTAGATTTTAATTTTAGTCGTTATTAGAAAAAAGCTACTGCCCATCTCCTGATTTGTTTTCGTCTGTCTATTGCAGCTGTGGCAAAACCCCCCGATGAGGCAACCTATAGAAGAGAGTTATATTCAGCAGTACACTTTTGATTGGTTGTAATTAATGAATGAATTTTGCAGGTGGGTTCAAACTCGATTTGCTCGCATTTTTAAGGCGGGCGCTAACCCCTCGGCTACCACGGCTGCCCCAAATACCACAGCGGACACCTTGATCGACTAGTGATAATGACTCTACATTCTGGAGAAAGTAAATTAAATTAAATATTTACATTTACACTCGTATAAAAGTTTATGTACCTACTGAGTGTTAGATAATTAAGTCTAACGAATTTCAGCGTATTTTTGTAGAAATGAACAAGAGATTTTAGTTAGATGGAAATTCGACCAATAAATAGATTCGATTACAGCAGCAAACACCTCACCTTGTTGTCGATATAAATACTTCTGATAATCGCAAATAAGGTAAGTGGTGGTAATATGGTCAACTTAAGCTTTGCCGCCCTATAAAATCAAAACTAGGAGGAGGACAGAGACAAATACACAGTCTTGTATACTGTAACTAATATATAAAGAATAAAATAACAAAAAAACCTTAGCAATAATTAGGAACACTTCGAAAAATCAACTTAAAGAAAACTAACCACACTACCCAATACTAAAATCGACTAAAATATTTACTATAATATCAACTGTCAAAATGGCGTCGTTAAAGCGGCGCCCTTTTGACCCTTTACCATTTGAATGAATTATGAAGAACTAACGTACCACAAAACCATCTACGCAAATAAGGCTGTAGTTTTTTAGTTATAAGAAAGTGACCATATTAACCGGATGACCCTATTACCCTCATGTACTACATTCGTCAAATATTTTGATGCCGCACTGATTATCGTTAACGATACCTAAATGGCTATAATATATTTTATTGTCTTGTACTGCCTTGAATCTGTTGCTATATAAGATATTTTTTTTTTATAAAACAAATGACTAACGTTCTTGCATTCCACCTGATGAAGAATTGACTCAGACTTCGTAATTGTTATGATTCTCTATACCCTTCAAGTCGAAACACAACAGTGCTGGCACTGTTACTTTTTAGGAGAAATAGGAAGAGATGCTACCTACCCAGATGGTCTCTCATGCAGAAAAGACGGGAAGCTAAAAGCAATATGATTTAAGTATAATTTAAAATTAAAAATTTTGTACAGCCGAGTTCAATATAAATTATTAAGAATAACTCAAAAATTATTGGTCTGAACTTGATCAAATTCATATGGGACCACATTTGAAGTACCAGCTTTCAAATAAAAAAAAGAATCATCGAAATCGATTCACCCAGTAAACATTTAGGGGGTAACACACATATAAAATACATACAGTCGAATTGAGTACCGTCTCCTTTTTGAAGTCAGCAGAAAATATCACACGTTATTTATTAATATTAAAATGTAAATTGTTGCATATTTCGTCCAGAAATTTAAAGCTACATTTATTTAATGAATTTTATGGCTCGCAATAGATGGCAAAATCACCATCCCACACTAGGCATATTGCCTATGTTGTGGAGGTGTTTTATATTTTTACGTGGTAGAGCCACGCTGCAGCTACGAGTATTATATTATGGTTGTGGCACGAATGGGTCGGCTCGACCGGGGTAGCCACGCTCTCACAGAATACCAGCGTAAAATATGAGCTTAATGCTGCTGTGTTTCGTATGGTGACTGTAGAGAACCGGAGACCCTTTTTACTGAAAACGAAGCATTCCATTTCAGTCTTTGGGGGTGACAACGCATTTTGATTTTAATTGAGGATATATTTATGTCTATGGGCCACAGCATCCACTTACCATCAGGTGGAATGAGTGCTTGTCACGCTTATTCTTTAAAAAAGTATATAAGTACTTTATATTGCATGTGGACAAATACACACACCCAGAATGTCGCAGTCCAACCGCCAATTTTTACCCAGACGTTTTTGATTATTGCATTTTGTCATAACAACAATAAGCGACTGTGGCATCCTTATGATTTTTTGTAAAAAGGATAAAAAATTAAAAACATAAATAAATATTTTTATTAAACAAACATAAAAGTTAAATATAAATTCTTTAGTATTTAGTAACATAGTAGTCGGCAATTGGGGGTTGTGCTCGACCGGAATAAGGGCGGGTGTTGGCGCCCGCTGCCTTAATTGGTCTCCGACCAACTTAGAAAACTTTTGCGGAAACGTGATGTGGTTATATGGATTAAGGCAGTTATTTGAAGTCACAGATATTTTATCACTTATTTTGTTGTTTTCTTCATGTACGTTTCCCCACATGAAACAAACATTATCAATTTTGCGTTAAATCTAATATATAATGTCTATATCTAATATATGTTCGTTTAAACAGTGGTAGAGCCACGTGGCGGCTTTTGCTGTCGCACGGATTGGCCGGCTCGAACCGGGGTGGTACCACGACCTCACAGAATACCAGCGTGAAGTAGAGGCGTTTCGCTTGGTGAGTGCAGGTGGCCGGAAGCCCTTTTTACTGGAAATTCCATCCATCTTAGTCCAGGCATTCCATCTTAGTCCTCACGGGTGACAACGCATCTGCATTTTGAATTGTAATAGAGGATAGATGTAGATGTCTATGGGCCGCAGCAACCACTTACCATCAGGTGGACTCTGTGCTCGTTTGTCACCCTTATCCTATAAAAAAAAAAATTTGTGCGCTGCCATACCGTTGATCAGATTGCGCTAAAATTTTGTCAACTTATTGCTTGCACTTGCGCAAGGGTTATAGGCATAGCATATTTAACTTACAGTAGGTGGCGTCCGTATCGTACCGTCAAATTTATTTGAAAGTTATAATGTAACATTCAACTTCAATGAATGTATTATCATTCCAAAATAAAAAATAAATATTACTTTTCCAAATTTAAAACGATATTTCCACAATTATTCTTTCTGTGGCAGCAACGGACCGGTGGCGTCGGGTACCAGCTAGTATTAAATTAAATATTTAAACTCCATTTAAATATCGTCGGAATGCTCATAATCTTTCTGCCCTCTACTGCGTCTTATTATATCAAGTCTTTATATATCAAGTCCTCCCTACCTAAAAGAACGTTTCAAATTGCTAAGCTCCTGTCATAATTTTTCCTTACGGTCCAAGCAAAATTTTTCCCACACTGTCCTGCGCACTCCTCAACATTTTATGATAAGTCAGTCTCTGTTCTTTGAGTAAGGCTTTGGAACTCCTTACCCCAGTCGATTAAAAGTGGTCAATCCTTAAATGTGTTCAAGAAACAAGTGAAAGAACACTATTTGTCTCTCAAACTCATCTCTCTGCTTCCTTTTATTTATGGTAATTGATCTACCTAAAGAATGTTGTCTTTTTAGTGAATAAGTTAGTGTCCTTTCTTATTTTAGTGAACCTACCCGTTAATCTTTCTTTTATTTTTATTTAACTATTTTTCTGGGTTGTCTGTATGATATTGTATGTAGCAATAAGATCACCTTTTGTTTTTTCCTCACTAGTTTCCTAAATATTTGTTTATTTTTGTTATGTACTTTATCTTTCCTTGATGTACAATAAA